TCCCCTCCCCATGAACTAAGTTAGAAGAGGAGGGATTTAGAGGAGGCATTGGGATGCGGAAAGATATGTCCATAACTAAAGCTGATGGAGAATATGCTGGAAATACCTACAAACCAGTAAGAGGGAGGGGGAATTCTAATGGGGAAAAGGGTGAAGGGTATAAGCAGGTGAATTCCAGGTGAGAAGACCCCATACTCAAGCTTAGGAGGCCCTCATTAGGAACAGGAGAAATACAAGCAAGAGAATAAGATATCACTTTAAGTCTATCAGGCAATTTGGGAAGCTTTCTAATACTAAGTGTTGGCGCGTAAGTGAATAGAGGAACCCTCAGGCTTCTCTTGCAGGTGTAGACAGGTAGGATACTCTGGAGAGCAAAATGTACACTTAATTTAAGTCGATACAGTCACACTCAGTGATAAACACCCAGGACAGGAGCCCCAAGCAGTAGTACTTCTGGGCAAAGTTCTCAAATGTGTTGTCACCAGAACCATAGCGGGTTGTGGGTGAGGCTGTAAGGTTGTGGGTGGTCATGTTAAGCTGGACACACCTGGTCGCCCACTGCTGGGGCCCATGGGTGGGTAATGTGGAGGGAAGTCTTCGCGGAGCACTGGCAGAGGTGAAGAACCAGATGTGCTGGGTGGTCCTTGCTGGGACATGACTATTCTATTGACGTCTTTCCCTTCTTCTCTTTCGACATAGATCCTACGTCTCTTCTTATTTGCCTGTTCTTCACTGGTAGGCAATTCACCCCAGATGACTCGCCCTTTTATGTTGGAGAGTTTTCCTCCATTTGACTTAGTTGCTTTATTTATTAACAATCAGTGGAAAGGTCTCCCTGTCCTCCTTGGTCCTTCCCTCCATTCTTCATTCACACGCGGAATGCCCACTGCATGTGGGGACCCTGCTGTGTGCCAGGAATGTGACAGGGAACCAAGCCTGCAGGCTGGCTGACCTTCCGGGTCTTCAAGTTCATGAACTGATAATCTACATATCTTTATTTGTCATAAAGGCCAGCAGTTCTCAACCTTTTTGATTTCTTTACACTCTTAGAAGTTATCAAAGACCTTGAAGAGCTTTCGTTCTTGTGGATTAGGCTAAGCAGACCACTTTTATGGTATTAGAAAGTAAAACTGAGAACTTTTGAAAGTATTTATTCACATAGGAGCACATGTACCCCAATGTTCATAGCAGCACTCTCAACATTAGCCAAAACATGGAAAGAGCCTAAGTGTCCATCAACAGACGAATGGATCAAGAAGATGTGGTTTATCTATACCATGGAATACTACATGGCAATGAGAAATAATGAAATCTGGCCACGTGTAGCAACATGGATGGACCTTGAGGGTGTTATGCTGAGCGAAATAAGTCAGGCAGAGAAGGACAAATATCACATGTTTGCACGTATAGGAGGATTAGGAGTAACTTAACTGAGGACCATGGGGGAGAAGAAGGGGGGAAATGGTGGGGGAAAGGGAGAGAGGCAAACCATGAGAGACTCTTGAATGCTGACAAAAACTGAGGACTGATGGATGTGAGGGGGAGGGGGGATGGCCATGGAGGAGGGCACTTGTGGGGATGAGCACTGGGTGTTATGTGGAAACTAATTTGACAATAAACTATTTGTAAAAAAAAAAAAAAATTAAAAAAAAGAAAGTATTTATTCATTAACTGATAAAAAAGTAATAAAGCCATTACATGTTGGCATAAATAATATCCTTTATTTAAAAAAACCGCAATGTTTTCCCAAACAAAAATAGTCTAATAGAAAGAGCAGCATTACTTTGCATTTTTTCAAGTCCTTTTGAGCTGTCTTAATGGAGGACACCAGGATTCTCATACCAGCCTCTGAATTTAACACATCGTAATAACGCGTGTTACAAAGCTTCTGGAAAACCCCACTCTACACCAAAAGAGCAAGAATGAAAAAGACAAATAACATCTTAGGGTTGTTACAAAAATGGCTTTGACTTCAGGGAGTCCCTGAAGGACCCCGGGCTAGGACCACGGACATTGACCTTTTCTTAAGGTGTGTGTGCAGCGTGCCTTGACTCCAGACACCTCACATCTAGTGCGGCGTGGAGATCCAGGGTTGAAGTCTGGCTGAGATCATCACATATTAACCTAGGAACTGGGGGTGGGGAAAAGCTGAGATGCTGCAGCTAGTAAACTTTCTTTTCGGTGTTTATTCGCATCTTTGGAGTGTTTCATTTGTGCTCCTTTTTTTGACTGCAGGAAGTGGATATGGGTGGCTCATTGATTTGTTTCTCACTATTATTTACTGAGTACTTCCTGCTGGATGGGATAGTCATTTTGCTGAGCTCTTTCTGTAGCTAAAATCCATTTATCCTTTGTGTCTTCTAGCATAACAAAGGGCTTGAGTCAAAAGACTCAAGTGTTAATGGAAATTTAAAGGTGCTGGGCCCTTTAATCGTCTGATAGCTTTGAGCCTGTTTGCATCTGTGGGACTCTTCGATTCTTTTGTATATTGGGAACAAGGGGGTTAAAACAGAAGGCAAAATCTGGGAAAATTTTCTGGAAGATCTTAGGTGGAGAAGGAAAAATCTTTAGCTCCGAATTTCTGATGGCAAAAATGAATGCTACCTGTTGGAAATGCACTTTTCACGACTGCAACACTGAGCCATGATGGCCAGTGATGGACTTAGGCACTGTGCTCAGTGCGAGCAAACAGGTCATATTTGGAAAATAGATTTGAGTAATTTAGTAATAGCCAGATAATGGCAACAACATAATTGTCCCCTAAGAGAAAACTGGTTGTATATTATGGGACATCCATACAAGAAAATGCAACAAGGGGTGTGCTTTCTAGGTATGGAAGGTGACAGCTCTGAGAATGAATGTCCACTTAAAAAAAGAGAGGGTGCCTGGGTGGCTCAGGTGGTTGAGCATCTGACTCTTGATTTCAGCTCAGGTCATGATCCGGGGGTTGTGGGATCAAGCCTTGCATAGGGTTTTGCACTGAACATGGAGCCTGCTTGGGTCTCTCTCTCTCCCCATCCCCCACTTGTGCTGTCTCTCTCTCTCTCTCTCTCTCTCTCCCTCCCTTTCTCTCTCAAATAAAAAATAACTTCAAAAAAAAAGAAAGAAAGAAAGAAAGAAAGGGCAGATAGGATTATAGCATGCTACCCTTTGTGTGAAGGGAGGAGTATTTATTTGCTTGTGTTTGCATAATAGACTTTGAAGAATATATAAAATTATCTACTGAGAGTGAGAACCTCTGGGCAGGAGGAAGAATTCTCCTATTCTGCCTTCTTATACCCTCTGATATCCTGCAATGCTGCATTACCTGTTCAAACGTTAACTATGTCTAAAAAGAATAAAATAAATAAAAGAAAACCCAGGTCAAAAGCAGCCCAGATCTTTTTCACTGAAGCCCCTTGGTTTTCTAGACAAGGACTGGCCACTTGTAAACTGAGGCAGTCTGGGGTGGAGGTGCATAATCTTAAGACACATGACTTGCTGACTTGTAACTGAGATGCTAACAGAATGGTTTGGCCCTGGTCACCACGCACCACTCTCTGGGGCAGCTCAGTCACCTTGTATGAATCTGCATTGTCGCTGCTCACTGGCCTCATTATTGGGAAGGGAACGCACAGAAAGGCTGGATTGAGCAGCGTTCTTCAAAAGGGGCTCAGGTACTGGTAAGCTTCCTTTGAGAAGGTGCCTGAGGGTGCAGATTGTCAGCTTGGACTCCAGGACACCTCTCCCTGAACCCCTGGGCAGGAAGGAGGTGGCTTTCAATTGACAAATCTCTTCAAAGAAGGAGGTGGTGGGGTTTGTGATACAGGCGTGGGGTGGGTCTGGGCTCTGGAGACATCTCAAACGAAGGAGGAAAGAAAAGGGTTGAGTCCTGACAAAAAACATCATTTTGAGACTGTTTTAAAAAGCACATGATTCTCCTACTATTGCATAGGGGACCTAGGTCAAAGTTGTAGTTTAATTGATGTGTAGTTGTGATTTAATTGTAGGGGGGGCGCCTGGGTGGCTCAGTAGGTTAAGCATCTGACTTCGGCTCTGGCCATGGTCTCACGGTCCATGAGTTTGAGCCCCGCATCGGGCTTGTGCTGACAGCCCAGAGCCTGGAGCCTGCTTCGGATTCTGTGTCTCCCTCCTCTCACTCTGTGTCTCAAAAATAAATAGATGTTAAATTTTCTTTTTAATTAATGAGGAAACAAAGGATTAAAACTTTCCCTTGTGTACTTTCCTTTGCTCAAAAATCCTGGCTGCGCACTGGTGGCCGACTGATGCCTGCAAAAGGCAAAGTAAAACACGGGGATAAGTCCAAGGCAACCCAGCCCACGCCGGTTTCCGGGGTCCCACCCGTGGGGTGTCCCGCCTGTGGACCTGCATGCGCAGAGGCCACTGGGCATCGCTTCATGCCCTTGCCATCTTGAATTTCTTAGTGTTCAAATGAGGAGATCCATGTTTTCACTTTGCGGTGTGCATACAAACGATGTGGACATCCTGCCCTTAACTGAACTCCATTATAGTTCCTTTTTATGTTTTTTATTTTTTATTTAAAGCGTTTTTTTAAGGGTTTGTTTTTGAGAGAAAGAGAGAGACAGAGCATGAGCTGGGGAGGGGCAGAGAGAGAGGGAGACACAGAATCCGAAGCAGGCTTCAGACTTTGAGCTGTCAGCACAGAGCCCGATGCAGGGCTCGAACCCATGAACCATAAGATGGTGACCTGAGCCGAAGTCAGACACTTAACCGACTGAGCCACCCAGGCACCCCTATAGTTTCTTTTTAAAAAAGTTTTTTTTTAAATTTATGTATTTTGAGATGAGGAGGGAGGAGCAGAGAGAGAGAGAGAGAAAGGGGGAGAGGGAATCCCCAGCAGGCTCCATGCTGTGAGTACAGATTTTTAAAAAAATTATTATTAAGTAAATTTATCAGATTGAACTTAACTTTCAAACAGAAGACTGCTATTCTTGAATTTTATTTCATTTTACAGATCGGTTTTCTATAAAGGCAATCTGTCTCCTGAAGAGTCATTTCCCACAATAACCCCTCACAATTGGCTCATAATCTTTCCTGGAATGAGATGTTTGTTAGCATAGGAGGGACCGAGAAGCCAGAGAAACAAAGCTCCCACCTAAGGTAAATGAAACTTGGCACCCGCGAATTATTTTACTATATGCACTGAGTGTTTAAACAGCGTTAGTCACCATGGGTGGATGTATGTCTAAGTTTGTATTGAAGTAGAACCTTTAGTGTGATCTATAGATCTACCAGGGTAATATCTTCCTGCTTTTCCTGGAACATGTGAAGAGTTTTAGTTTCAAAGAACACGTTGGGCAAACATACTCTTTTGCCCGAAAGTTGTATGTGGTTTGGAAATGGGTGCTGTGTTCTGTTGAAAGATGATCTCTCACTTTACCTGAGGCTGTATTAAGAAGCAAGCATTTGGGGAGCCTGAGTGGCTCAGTCGGTTAAGCATCTGACTTCGGCTCAGGTCTGATCTGTTTGTGAGTTCGAGCCCCGTGTCAGGCTCTGTGTTGACAGCTCAGAGCCTGGAGCCTGCTTTGGATTCTGTCTCCCTCTCTCTCTGCCCCCTTCCTGCTCACACTCTGTCTCTCTCTCTCTCAAACATGAATAAACATTAAAAAAAATTAAAAAAAAAAAGCAAGCATTCACATAAGCAGGAATATGCCAAAAGACGTGGCCCAAGGGTCTTCCCTGTGTTTTAGACTCTGACCTTTACCAGGAAGCATCGGGAAAAACCGCACAGGGTTGGTTGTGAGCTCCATCGTTTGAGAAAGGCTGAAGCATCCCAATGAACTTTTTTCTTTTAAAATTTAACTTAAAAGAATTCTACTAAATATTTTCCCTTGACCTATCTGTGCATGTTTGGAGATGAATAATCTTTAATCTGTGCCAGAAATCACAGCCGGACCACTTCTATCTACATTTTCAAAGTATCTGTTTTCAGTGTACAGTCATGCCTCTTACGGGATCCAAATCCAGGAGATGGTGTTGACATATTTAGCCCATTAATTTTAACATGTTCAACAATATCATATGAAGCCTGTAAAATTGAGAGTGGGTTTTATACACATGACACCATTTTTTGTAGCAGTTTTAGTTTTACGGAAAAATTGGGTGGAAAGTACAGAGAATCCCATGGACCGTGCCTGCCTGCCCTCCCCGCTTCCAGATTCCTGGTTGTAAACAGCCTATATTAGAGCGGCACATTTGCTGTAAGGGATGAACCAATATTTATCTTTATTATTCAGTCAAGTCTCTCGTTTACATTAGCGTTTACTTTTCCCGTTGTACATTCCAGGTTTTGACACACATGTAATGACATCACTATGGTATCATACAGAATAGTTTTCACTGCCCTAAATATCTTCTGGGCTCTGTCTCTGCAACCTCCATACCCCAAATACCCCTGGCAGCCACTGATCTTTTTTACCGCCTCTATAAGTTTTGTCTTTTCCAGAATGTCATGAGATTGGAATCATACAGTGTGTAAGCTTCCCTTAGTGGTATGCATTTAAGTTTCCTCTATGTCTTCTTGTGGCTTGATAGTTCTGTTTTTTTCATTAAAATTCTTTTTAATGTGTATTTATTTTTGAGAGGGAGACAGAGCGTGATCAGGAGAGGGGCAGAGAGAGAGGGAGACACAGAATACAAAGCAGGCTCCAGGCTCCGAGCTGTCAGCACAGAGCCCGACGCAGGGCTCTAAACCACAAACCTTGAGATCATGACTTGGGCTGAAGTCAGATGCTCAACTGACTGACCTACCCAGGCGCTCCACTCTCACCCCGCTTTTTAAATTGCTGAATAACTTTCTATCGTACGCAGGTGCCAGAGTTTATTGACCCATTCATCTTTTGGAGGACATCTTGGTTGCTTCCAAGTTTGGGCAATTGTAAGTAAAGCAGCTGTATTCATCTGTGTGCAGGTTTGTGTGTGGATAAATGTTTCCAACTCACCTGGGTGTGTATATTAATTTATAAATTACAGCTGTAGGAAAGAGAAAAAGCTGGTTTTAAAACATGGTTCCTGGATCGCACGTGAACTATGCTGCGTGTTAGGAACGTAAGTTGAAAGAGAATTCAGTGCCTGTGGAATCTCCTGGTCTAAGCATTAAGGAGAGGAGAGGCCGAGGTGATTACATAGACCCCAAAGTGCCCTTTGCTCCCCTCACCCCATCCCTGTGAGTCATGAGAGGTCATGGTCAAGATCATACACTAGGTTTTTGTATGAACTCCTCCAGTCTAAAGGCACCCCATGGGCCGCTCCCTGTTAGGACCGCCTACTGACTGGGGCTGGTCAAAGTTGTAAGAGATGACATTTCTAAGGAGGCATGCCAGGAGTTAATCAGATGCTGTACTTCTGGTTTGTCAACAGCCACCATCACTATGGTACCTGGGTTTTGAGCTCGATTTTGGATCTGTATTTGATGGTACCCATCTTCTACCTGGCTGTGTGGGCTGTCCTATATTCTGAAAACAACTTCACGTCCTGTTCACCTTTGATGTTGTTTTTGGCAAAATACTGTAAAGACCCTGTACATCTCCATCCGCACTCGGGGACATACGGCGCTCGTGCCTTTTTCTCCTGTTAGTTTCTGTAAGCACAGACCACGCTCTTTCCTTGCTACTCTGACCATCAATTGTTTCCATCCAGGCTCAGGGCTGTGTAATATTTAGTTATGTCTATTAAAACTTCAGCATCACGTTGCTTACAAGCTTGCATTCTCTGGATTGGAATATACTCTTTATGAAATAATATTTTTAAGAGGTTGCCTGATAGAGGTTTTATTCTCAGTGATTTTTCTGTGGTTGCAGAAGTATCTGTTTCTTCCATCCAGGTGCAGGTGGAATGAATGAGGACGTTACTGCTCAGCCTCTGCAGTAAATAATTGAACTGTTTTCAAGTGCTCGGTGGAAACAATGATCTGGAAAGGGAGGCTTTCTCTATGCTGACAATACACTGATAAATGAGGGGAGACTCTTCCTTATAGGAGGTGCTGACTGATAAATGCATTGTAAGTACTGTGTTTGCAATCATTGCAGTAAATGCTGCTTTAAGCCAGAACATTATCCAGTGTGTGTGTGTGTGTGTGTGTGTGTGTGTGTGTGAGTGAGAGTGAAAGAGAGAGACAGAGACAGAGAGACAGAGATAAAGACAGAGACTGAGACACAGAGAGAAGATAGTTATATGATCACAAAGCATCTCTCTGCATATCACATAAATTACTCATTATTTGCAAGGGAGGAAATAGAGACAGTACTGTGCACACACCAGACCATGCTTTTACTGGAGGACTAGAGTCAACATCACAAGTGTGGACAGGTGACACGGGGTGCTCCAGATGGGTCACCGTGTGAAGGACAGCACCCTCCTTATGATGTATCTAGCTGACACGAACCAAGAGGAAACATCAGACAAAACCAAGGAGAGGGACTTCCTATAAAATAACTGGTGGGCATTGTATAAATATCGGGAAAGACAAGACATGTTAAGAGCTGTTGAAGGAAGCTGAAGGAGCCTGAGGAGACAGGACAGCTAAGTGCAATCTGGATCCTGTAGGAAGGGGAAGGTGCCACAGAGAACAACGTTGGAGTAATTGATGGAAGTGGAGTCTGGACTATAGGTCAGATCAAAGTATTATATCAAAGCTACATTTTCTGAATTCGATAGCTTTCCTGTGTCCTTGTAAGGGGACATCCAGGTGCCTAGGAAATTATTACTGTAGTATTGGGGCATAAAGGGCCATGATGTATATATAGCACCTACTCTCAAGTGTTTGTGGGTGTATACATGTACACAAAGTGTGTGTACAAGCAAAGAAAAGGCAGAGCATTGTAGGAGGGTGTGGGGCCATTGAGGACAAGAAGGGATGGGCAAGTGGTGATAGTTAATGGGGGTGGGGGGTGGATTCATTTCCTAGGGCGGCTGTAACAACGGGACACAGACTGGGAGGCTTGTAACAACAGTGACTGATTCTCTCACAGTCTGGAGGTGAGAAGCCCCAAGTCAAGGTGTCAACAGGCCCTCTGAGGGCTCCAGGGAAGGACCCTTCCTGCCTTTTCCAGCTTCTGGTGCCTCCATGGGTTCCTTGGCTTGTGACTGTGTCCCTCCACCTTTGCCTCTGTCTTTAGGTGACTTTCTTCCCCTCTGTGTCTCTCTGTGCATCATATTTCCCTTTCCTCTTCTTTTTTAAATTAAAAATGGTTTCATGTTTATTTATTTATTATATATATATAGAGAGAGACAGAGGCAGAGACAGAGACAGAGAGTGAGTAAGGGAGGGGCAGAGAGAGAGAGAGAGAGAGAGAGAGAGAGAGAGAATCCCAAGCAGGCTCTGGCTGTTGGTGCAGATGCAGGGCTTGAACTCATGAACCGAGAGATTATGACCTGAGCCGAAATCAAGAGCCAGTCACTTAACTGACTGAGCCCCCCACGTGCCCCCCACCTTTCCTCTTCTTATACAGACACCAGTCATCGGCTTTAGGGTCCACCCTAAGCCCAGGATGATGTCAGCTCAAGATTCTTCACTAATCACATTTTCAAAGACTCTATTTCAAATAGGGAAAGTTATTCACACGTATGGGTTGCACATGGGTATGGATTTAGAGGCGTGTTACTACACCCAGTGCAAGGTAGGTCAGCAGAGACCTCCGTGAGAAAGTAAGATGGAAAGAAGCTGAAGGGAGATGAGAGCATGAGCCAGTAGTCTTTGTGGGTTAAGTGTGTTCTGGGAAGAGAGAGCAGCTGGGACAAGGTCCCCAAGACAGGGCTGGCCTTTTGTGGTTGAAGAGCAAAGTGGCCCGGGTGGGGGTGAGAGGAGGCAGCAGGGGTGGGGAGGGCAGAGAGCTGGAGGCGAGGTACCACAGAGGGCACTGCGGACCATTGCAGGGACTCTGCGTTTAGCTTTGAGTGAACTGGGGGCCGTGTAGGTGGCGAGCAGAAGAGTGACACTGTCTAGCTTTAGACGGTGAGGACAGGAGCAGAGAGACTGATGTGGATCTGGGGTGAGAGCCCGGAGTGAGTTGAGCATGGCCCAGCCCCAAGCCCAAGGGTGTCGATGCCAAGCATGTGTTGGACGTGACATTAAGGACGGACCAACAGATTTCCTGGCTAATCGGAAGTGTGTGTTTTGGGGGGGAGGTTGGAGAAAGTGTGGAACCAGAGGGTGGGGTCTGAGGTTATGTGGGGGCAGTGAGTTTGGGTGTAGACAGCAGGAGCCCAGCATGGTGTAGACACAGAAGCTCAGAATTGGGCACACCGAGCGTGAGATGCTGGGTTTGTACTGAGCGGGCTGTTGAATACACAGGTTTGGAATCTGGGAGACAGATCAGAGTCAGGGACATAAATTGGTGAGTGGATGGCTTTGTTCACTACTGGCTTTTCTTAGATGTTTGTATTTTGGCTTACTGAAGGGAAAGAGGGAAGGGAGGGGACAGAAAGGAAAGGGAGACAGGAGTTGATGGGCAAGTTGATGGAGTTAGTTTCACGCAGGGACTCTGCTTGCGTATTTGTGGTGTGAGGAGGGCACTGGAGTCAGACAGACCTGAGCCTCTGTTTTCACTGCTGTGAAATGGGGTGATGCTAATCATTATCTGGCCCTCAGGGACTGTGGTGAATGAACAGCCAGGTGGGACACTAACGTGACAGTAACAGTAGCTAACGCTTCATGGTCCTTACTCTGAGCACTTTGTATGCACCAATTCATTAACCTTATGGTAGCTATGAGGTAGGTTGGTTATTCTTCCTACTTGGGAGCTGAGCCTTCTGAGGCCCAGGGAGGTTGTGAATGTTGCCCAGGGTCACACAGATGGTGAGAGGCGGTGCTGGCTTCACTCAGGCCATCTGTTTCCAGCGCCTACACTCTTCACCTACACAGCTTCTCTGTCTGTGTGCTTGGCACCTACCAAATACTAAAAAAAGTATTCATGTGCAAAATCAGGGGGTATAATGGGGAATATGGGGAATTATAAGTAAAGGGGTTGAAGGGGTTCAGAACCAATCTCCCTAGAGGGTGCCACTTGAGCATGTGGACTGTTTTGAGCTGAAGGCAATCAAGACCCAACAGACTAAAAAAAAAAAAAACCTAACTTCTCCCTTAGGCTAACTAAAAGGATTTAGACAGGGGGCCTGGCCCAGAAGGAGAGCTATCACCGGGACATAACTTTGATCTGAATGGCCAATCTGGATGGCAGGATGAGCATCTGATTATCAAACATTGGCTCTTTTTAGCTCCTGTGAATCACCGCCTCCCCTTTCCTTTGAAGCCCAGACCCCAACCCATTCCTTAGCTGAAGATGACATATATGCATTCATTGCCTGATGTGTCCTTGGGTCTCATTGTCTTTGTGGGGCTCCCGAACATACATAATTAAATTTGTTTTTCTCTTGTTAATCTGTCTCATATCAATTTACCAGCCAAAGAACCTAGAAGGGTAGTGGAGGATTTTTTCCTCCCAGCAGGGTCATTTTCTACCACGGGTCCTGGGACAGTCAGGCCAAGCAAGTGACTTCCCTAGCTTTCCTCATTTCCCCGTGTTATTTATATATGAAGCTGGAAGAAAATGAGGGTGAATGTCCGGCTAGGAGGTTAGAAAGAGGACCACATTCTGTTCTGCTGCATTAAAATATTTCAGCAGATCAGCCTGGGGGCACTTTTCTTCATATCCTGTTACCTTTGGACAATAGTTTTTTTTATTCCTATTTTCCTGAATTGCCTGTGTCCCTCTGGACTTTATCGTGTGTGTGTGTGTGTGTGTGTGTGTGTGTGTGTGTAGAATAGAATTATGTAATAGTTATTAAGTAATCCAGTGTTTCATAAACCAGAAGCATTTTCAAGTCGGTGGCTTAGGGGGCAGGACCAGGGAGGTCATATTCTCTCGGCTCTGTAGGTCCCACGGTGTTTGTTCCTCAGGTCAGGCTGGGGGGATGGGGTGGGTGGGGGCTTGGTGCGGGAGACGGATACTAAACAACTGAATACAGGAAAGAATAAATGTATGGTTTCGGTACGGGTGATGCCAAGAGAAAACAAAACAGCAAGGCAAGAGAGTAATGGGCGTAGTCGGGGGTGTGAGGCAAAGTGGCATCTAAGATGAGACCTGAAGAGTGGGAGGGAACAGGTCACGGAAAAACCCGGGGAAGGGCAGCCACCAGCCCTCTCTAGTTCATTCACATTTTCATCACGGCCAGAAAAAGCCTGCTATCCGCTAAGCCGACCATCCCCTCTCCTCCCTGCCCCTGGGCCCTGGCGACCACTGCCCTACTTCCTGTCTCTGTGGACCTGCCTGTGCCTGAGTATCTGGACTTCTCATGTACACATAATCGTACACCCTGGGGGCCGTGCTGACTGGCTTCTTTTACTTAGCTTCAGGTTCTCAAGCTCCATTCATGTTGTACGAGGTGTCAGACATTCCCTTTTATGGCCGAATGACATTCCATTTGTGTGGATGGACCACGTTTGGGTTACCCGGTCGTCATCAGGTGGTGGCTGTTTCCACCTGACTGACTGTGAAGGAATCTTTCTGGGTCCAGGGAGCCTAGGCAGACGGCACCTGCAATCTTCCCAGCAACGCAGCGTGGTGAAGACGGTGGCGGAGCAGGTGAGAGACGGGTCGAGGAGGGCAACCAGCAGGCGTGGGGTCAGCGTGAGTGGAGCCTGTTTATGTGAGTTGTTTTCTTTCTCTCTCTCTTTTTAAATTTTTTAAATGTTTTATTTATTTTTGAGAGAGAGAGAGAGGCAGCATGAACAGGGGAGGGTCAGAGAGAGAGGAAGACACAGAATCTGAGGCAGGCTCCAGGCTCTGAGCTGTTAGCACAGAGCCCGACACGGGGCTCGAACCCACAAACCGTGAGATCATGACCTTAGCTGAAGTTGGTAGCTTAACTGACTGAGCCACCCAGGCGCCCCCTTTTTCTTTTCAAAAAAATGTTTTAGTGTTTATTTTTGAGAGAGAGAGAGAGTGCACACAAGTGAGTGGGGGAGGGGCAGAGAGAAGGGTATAGAGGATCC